CAAATAAATTGGTAAGAGAAAAACGAAAAGAAAAGGAAAGGTGAAGAAAAGAGAAAAAACAAAAACAAAAAAAAAACGAAAGTGTAATTATTATGTTATTGCGGAAATAAAGTTTCTTCTTGTGATTTCAATTTAATTATTTTTTTTTAAAGTAGAGTGTTTTGTTAAATAAGAATATGTTTTCCTCTTATTACTTAAAGGTTAATATCTTATCAGCTTTTCTTTTTTTTTAAAAAAAAGGAAAAGAAAAGATTCGAATATTCCTTTTTTTCTTTTTTTTCTTTCTAGGAGACCAATAGTTGTTATTTTATGATGACTTCGATTATAATATAGTTACTTAAATAGTTTAGTATTGTTGAAGTTGAAAAGAGTTTATACTGATTGTGTTAATACACTTATAAACTTGGATGTTAATATTCATACTGATTATATAAGTATAAAACCAAATAGATTTTTAAAATCAGATGGGGTTTTTGTAGATATTAGACTAATTTTAATAGTTGAGATGATGAATCAATTAAAGCTTGACTATCATGGAAAACCTGGAAACACTGGATAGACGTTTCGTCTTATTGTGGGACTCTTCAGCAGTGAGCATCTATGATCCCGCCTCACAAGATTCGAACCCAGGACCTATCGGTCTAGGGAGATCTTCATGGTGGTTCAGCTTCAGTTGACTCATGATCTCAACTATTGAACAATTTTTAAAAGACTAATATTTGAACGGAGAATATTCTTTTTGATAAATTATCTTCAGGTTCTACAATTTATATATCCAAATTAATTATCCGATAAATGGTCAGGTTAATGGCAAAGTGTATCGTTTCAAGTTAAAGTAGGTGAACTTAGAATTGTCAAACAAATTAGAACAAAATTGTACATGTTGATATAACTCATATGGAATGTTAACTTGAATCTGTATATATGCTATACGTACAGAAGAAATATCTTCAACCGATCCTCTTCCCTTGGCCAAACTCAAGGCCAATTAATTAAAAGACTTAATTTAATTGTTGTACTTACGACCTTTCGTCGTCAAATGTAATTGCCTATGTTATCTTTATTCACAAATCTTTTATTATTATTATTATTACTAATGACTGAACACCATCATTAATCTCCTTAATACATGATTCATTTACTTTGCTTTCACCCCACTTTGTTACTTTTTACTAATTTCATATAAAATGTTTACCCAAATATAGTCTTCCACTAAACGTTTGTTAGAATTTGTAATTACATTATTATTTCTCTTACCCTATCTCACCCATATTTCATCTGATCATAGATCTTAACGTTTTCAGTTAACATATAAGGCTGATTCAAGTTAACATTCTATATGAGTCATATCAACAATAACAATGTCATTTTATTTTGTTTGACAAACCTAAATTCACTAACTTTAAACGATGTACTTTACCTTTAACCTGGTCATATTTTGGATTATTAATTTGAATATATAGGAACCTGAAGAGAATTTGTTGGAAAGTATATTCTTTGTTTAATATATTAATCTTTTAATATGATGGAGGATCTTTAAACGATTAAAATAACTTTTTTTATTTATAAATATTCATATTCTTTTTATTGTTGAAGAAAACAAAGAACAACTTTAAAACAAGCGTTTAAAACAGTTTATAAACTAATCATAAATGATCCATAATGTTATTGAATAAGAATAAGAGAATTCAGCGAAGAAAAGTTTTTTTTTTTCAACGAAATCATTTACTTAAACTGTACATTCATACATACATCCTAAATGAAATACTTCTCCTTCACCACCACCACCACCACCACCACCACCTCCTCCTCCTTCTCCACCATCTTCTTCTTCTTCGGTAAAATAGATTCACTTTTATCAGTAATTGTTCAGAATATAGAAATTCAATTTTCTATCATTTCATTTATGTATACAAATCGGATAAATACTTCATTTAACACAACAGTATTACTATTATTATTATTATTACTATTATTATTACTATTACTATTATTACTATTATTATAATTACTATTATTATTATTATATATTATTCAATATGTGAATTGTCATTACCTTCCTTTTTTTATTAGTTATCTAGTTATTTATAATTACTTTTGTTATTCAATTTTATTTCTTCATTATTAAGAATATTTCTATGTTGTTGTTATTATGATTACTTAAAATAAGTTAATTATTTACTTAACTATTCACACTTGAATTATTTATAAAGATCTATATAGATAGATTTAGTTATCCACTTGTATAGAATCCATTATAGTAATCATCGGAATTACTATTATTATTATTATTATTATTATTATTATTATTATTATTATTATTATTATTATTATAAACCTTATATGCTCACAATCTAATCCATTTTATTCTCTATTCTCTTTTCTTATCCTTCTCTTACGTAATAATTGACAATAATTGATTTCTTAAGGTTTGATAGAATATAAAGAAGAGAACTATTCATAAATGATATACAATAGATGTGTATTGTGTAATATTCATATGATTCTGTTGTGATAATTTACTGACATAAATACTTCTAAACTATCCAGCTATTTAATCAGTGATAGTGTCATCTAATCATAATGAAAATCATAAAGTTGTAATCCACCAAATGATGAACATTTCTTTTAATCATCAGTTAGTTTATGACATCAGTGATGAGTGATTATCTATTTTGATTGAAGATATTCATCTAAATCTTAATAATTCAATTTTACTTAAGGCATTGCAACTTGATCGATAGCATTCGATTTGCACTAATAAGGACTTGACACGTATGACATTGATCACTATCCAGTGATCAATCAATTGTGATCACATCTCAGTCCTACAGGAGGTCAGTCGAGCGCCCGGATAGCTCAGTGGTAACGTCTCTGACTGTGAAACTGAGATTGAATCTGTCAGGGAGCACCAGTTCCCTAAAGATTACAGTTACGCCTTGCTGACGAGTGCCAAATAGCACGAGACTTAGGTCCAAGGTTTCCTGTCAACTACCTCCAACCACCATCTAATTTAAACATGAGAGTTTATGATGTAATCATTGGATTGTTATTAATAGGGTTAAGAAATCGGTGAAATAACCTATTGACGTAATCATAATTTTGATTAAAATCATAAAAAGACATAACATTTTGTAATTTAAATAGATGATTGTAATGATTTGATCATTTTGAAAACAGTTTCTATTATGAATTAACATTAGTTAAAAAATGACTGAAAACTATGTTCCTAGTTTTTGGCCAGTATACACTTCATTATATAAAATTATATATTTTATGAAAGAATAAACAAATGAAAGTTTCTAAACATAATTAGATTGGGAGAGGGGTTTTGTGGATATTATAGTAATTTTAATAGTTGAATTCATGAGCCAATTGAAGCTGGACCACCATGGAAAACCTGGACGCTCTGGACAGCCGTGGTCTAGCTTCAATTGACTCATGAATTCATTTCTTAAATTACTATAATATCTGCAAAACCACTCTCTGATCATAATCATCATATGCTCATTAGTAATTAGTTTCAAGAGGTATTTCTTGAAGTTCTAGTGAGAAGCTGTGACGAGTGTTCAACCGGGTCTGTTGTGAAATAGTAACTGTTTTATCTAGACGCTTATATTCTTGATATACTGTGTATAACTTGAGCACTAGCACGCTAGAACCCTTCCAAGTCGCAATGAGAAGACAGAAGACTAGTGAAGGGAGTGTTATTCCAGACTGTCAATTATAGTACAAAATTGTCAGGCATAGTTTTTAGTAAGAAACGAAATCATCATTACAGTCCTACAATCTGGATACAGGGTTTTATTAGTATTGTCCAATCGGGAAGCTACATGTAGGAATTCTAGAATATTCTTCCGAAAGGTAATTGGATTGAATATCTTCAACTCTTTTTGAGCTTCTTACAGCTTCTTCGAGTTCACCCATGGACCGACCTCACAATAACTCACTGAAGACAATGGTGGACGGTGGCTCAGTTTTGTGGATTAGTTAAAGTTAGACATTACCACCGTTGGATGCCGGCCAGTTCAATGGTCTAGAAGTTGAGCGTTCGTGCGCAAGACCAATAGAGCCTTGGTTTGAATCTCACGAGGCGGGATCGTGGATGCGCACTGATAAGGAGTCCCATACTAAAACGAAGCGTTTGTTCAGTGCTTCCAGGTTTTCTATGGTGGTCTAGCTTCAATGAACTCATGATCTCAACTATTAAATTGCTATGATATCCACAAAACCGTTCTGATATTGATCAACATATACTCACTAGTGACGTTCTCCAAGAGGTATTTCTTGGAGTTCTAGTGAGAAGCAGTGACCAGTGGAGTTCAGCCGGGTCTGTTGTGAGATAATAACTCATTGAAGACAATGGTGGACGGTGGCTCGATTTCGTGAATCAGTTATATGTATATTGATCAGTTAGTTACTTTTTTCAATAAAGAATAACCATACTAATCAATCGACTATTCCAATATGGTTGTACTCAATTGAAATTCGAAGCATATGAAAATTTGCGTTTTTATTCGTTGTAATTATACATTATATGGTTTTAAAAGTATCTCAAGTGATATCAATTCCTGTCAAATACCATTTACAACAGAGTTGTATATAACAGCGGAATTTAGGGAACGCTTTTCTTTTAATTTAAGGTCAGCCAGCTGAATTTATCTGCATCTCATTGTTGATGTTTTCATTAGAACTTGAATCCAATACTTTTTACTTCGAACACCAACACATATTCTTCTAAGCTATGGAGCTCAGATAACCATTAACTTGTTCCGTAGATGTAAGGGTTATATTTTTATTATCTCATTATTAATATTCAGGACTAAATCTTAATATGCCAAGAAATGCTGATCGAAATACTTTCCTAACTATTAACAGCACGATAATTCAGTCGTATACTTTTGAAACGTTTTGTATTATCTTCTATAACCATTTATTCGGAAAATATTTTTCTGTTTGTTTTTTTTTTTTTTGTTGCTAAATTTATTTAATTTAAATAGCTATTGGTGTTTCAGTGAAAATGATTGATGCTATGTATCGACTACCTGGGTTATCCGCTTTATACGCTGATAGATCTAATGTAATACGAGCTAGTCAATGTTCCATGAATTCAGAATTGGCAAAAATGGAGTATACTGAAGCTTTAAATGCATTTAAAAGTGAAGGAATTAAAGGTAATCATTGTGATATATATATAAATTAGTGTTGATCTAAAAATAATGAGAATGAATAAATAGAGAGATATCTTTTATTCTATGATTTCATTTTTAAAGCTTTAATCCATATATATGCAAAATTCGTTTTAAAATGATAATCGATGTACTATGTATCATGGATTGATTTTGACTAATTTGGAAAAGAGAAAGAACAAACAATATATTGCACAGGGAAGTGGAAACAGACATCAAAGCAATGAATGAAAATCGGTAACAACTGGAAAGGAGGGTTCAGAACAGAGTTGATTGAAGATAATTAATCGGACGTCAATGCTCTACGAGGTGTAACAGAAGTAATTAATTAATGAAGAATTCGTAAACACTACATTTTATGATCAAAAAAGAAGTGGGGTTAATTGTATAAAAAACTCAGTAAACAGTAGGGAAACGTTGGTCATTCTATTAAAATAAACTTATTCAATTTCATTTACAACTTTAATAGAAATTTACAAAATGTGACACAGATTTTTCTCTTACTACTAAAGGGCTTTTTCGTACAAAAAAAACGTAAAATTTTCAAATATATATGTACATTAACTGTTTTATATTTATTTAAACACATAAATATTGGTACAAGGAGGCCTTAAATAGATAACCACATAGCCAAATAGTCGCATAAATCATTCGATTTATGTTAGGGCTGGGATACTGCCCTGATGCTTAAACCGAAGCAGGTTGTTTTCTTAGGGAGCCACACCCAAAGCCTTCGACCTAAAGGTCTAATCCACAAGGCAGTGGAGCAACGTCAGGAGATGCAGTTCCATGGTCACCGGTGACCAACAATTGGTTCATACTCCATTTGTTTCCTCAGGATACTGGAGCCCATGTGCACCATTGGTTTGGAATCAGGATTTTCCAATTCCCACATGTGAATCCATCATATCAACCTACTCGGTTAGAGCTCCGGAGGTTCACTTTTTGTTCTCTGAATTTCGTTAACAACACCTCTGCCATTTAAGAGAACTTTCCTGGTAGTGGTTTTATGCACATGGTCATGTGAGAGCATTTAGAGAAGGAGAGATGACTCTCTTCACGTTCGATCGTAACAAGGCATCATCGTACTATGGTCATAACCTCTTATTTCGCAATTTATCATCGTTTTATATATTTTTCCCGGTCTATTAATCTCGTACATCCTAAACTGATTTAATTTTATTTGTTAGTCATGTCTAATCAAATTAATCTTTTTTTCTGAATAACTTATTATCACAATTATAAATTTTTAACTGGATCCAATTGGTATTCCTGATAACTTGTCTAACCTCTGAATAATAAGAACTAAACTTTCTATACTTTTATTCATTTGTTATATGTGCATATACGATCGTACAGTTTTGAAAAATGAAATCATAGAACAAAAGTCATTTCTTTGCTTAGCCACACACACACACACACACACACATACTCTCTATCCATCTCTCGTTTGCTTACTTTTTTCCAGTTATCTTCAAATCAATATCATGTCCACAAAAATGACTGTTAAAATAAACACGACTACTAATATTTACCTTGATTATTGTAAATAAAAAGGTCAGATATTTTCAAGCAACATGATTATTAACTTAAATATTTCTTTGTTATTATATTCGATGAGGTCCATGTATTTGTATGATCAAGTTTTTTGTTGTTGTTGTTTAGTTATTTATTTATCTTTGAACTATAAGGTTGTCGAGTAGTTTGTATGCTTACGGTGTACTTAGTGAAAACGATCTAATGTCTTAGGAATTTAAATGATAATGAACGATATATATTCATTCTCGATATGCTTTTAAATCTTAGAATAAACTGAGCTTGTGGAAGTAGACAGTCATGATGATGATGATGCTTTTTTATATTAAATTGTAAAGATGACTTTCTTTAAAGTGCTAACTCGTGTAGGGGATGATTGAAAGAAAGTTAGGGATGGCAAAATCAAAGCGTGTCATCAGTGCTTGAAATCACTAACTTCTAATCTGAGCCATGTTGGTAGGTGCAGACTACTTGGTTGGGGTCCGTGTGACTATCGTAACCAATGGTTGAAGACTCTTGGTGACATGGCTCAGAATCGATCACAATGGCGTAGGTGTATGCACTCTCTGTCTTCCTTTAAACTATGAGATTAAAATCGCTTCATATCTTTCTTTCTACCAACTAATTCTTTCTTCTTGTACTATGTTCTCACATGCAATCTTTCTTTTATGTATTGCCACCATTGAACTAATTACTTCTGTGAATCTGGTGTTCATCTTGTTGTATTAATGAGGTATGGTAACTTGGACCGATGCATATATGTGCCTGGTCCTACGTTGTATCTGACTGGCTGAGGGATGACTTTAAAATTTACTAATAGAACATCAAAGAATATACAGTTTTGTTAATGTTTTCTAACTAATTAAAAGTGGAACGTTTATGAAACGTTTATTTAGTTCTTATAGATTGAACATTCAACTTAGCTTTAAATTATAAAGTAATTCATTGTTGTTGACATTAATCGATTTTATTTATTTGTGAAAGTTTGCTAAAACTTGTGTTTAAATGACATTACTAAGACAATTTGTTTAAGATGTATATAAACCAATAAAGACTGGTTGATTGCGGTGCTTAACATTAACAACAAGAAAATAAGAATCCCTACAAATAACTTGATAGCTGTTGAATATAGTAGTAGTTGTTTGTTCTTTGTAACTTTTTGAACAACACTTGGATGTACAATGTAGCAGGTACTGTGATTGAATCTCAGCCTTTACATCAACACTTTTGACTCAGAAATATCCAAATGACGAGTGGCGAGTACGATGAAACACTCTTACTGGATTCCATTACTAATCATAGTCTAACATTATTAAATCGTTTGATTGGGAAGAAACTGAGTAGTTATACGATTCTCTACATTGAGTAAGTCAGCTAAATAACACATTGTAAGCTCAAAAACCTATGCTACGAGGCTACATAATCACAATGTGAGAAGCACTTATCTGGACGTATAGCAAAAAGATCGAAGTGATTTCAATGTTTATGGTAGTACAAACAATCTAAATATGGTAAACATGGTTCACAAAGAAGACACAAGTTTGAGAAATAAAATGTATGAATTATTATTGAAACAAAAAATCTAAGGGAGGATATGAAATGGATACATCTGTAATATTAATATCGGCTTCTTTTTCATCCCACTTACTATTTATTGGATGCAGTAATTAGATTTTTAAACTGAAATGCTTCAACCAATTACATTGTTTTACAAATGTGTATTAGTTATTCTACATGAAATTGTATTTCCGTTCGTCGGTATAAATCGTAACTCCTGTAGTTCTAGTGAGGAACCATGACCAGTTCAGTCCATGTCGGTGAAATTTTATAAATACCTTTAAATTCTGAATTCTACATGGTAACCATTATCCATTGACAAACTGTAATATCGATATACCTTTTGTAAGTGACAATCTAGTCAACACCACATAAGTTCAAAATTTCTAAAAACCTGTCACACTAAAACTAATGAATAAATATGACTCCGCAACAACAACAATAATAATAATAACTCGAGTTTTGACTATTTTACTGAATTTAAATAATTTAGCTTGAAGCAATCTCATCTTTAGCTTTTATCTTTCGCCCACATCTCTCTTTCTCTCTCTCTCTCTCTCATGTGCGCGTTCTATTCCCTTCTCTACATTACATATGTTTAATACATGGCTAACATGTTTTCTCAGTTGAATATTCACTAAGAAAACATCTGTTTTCTGTTGGGATTTTTTGTTTTTCATTTTGGTTCTTAGGATACTTTCGATGAATAAATAGACATTCTATTTATTTACTAACCAAGTTTAGATTATTTATATCCTATGGGATATCTAGACTCATCTATATATATATTCGTATATATTCATTCATTTATTTGTTGATTATCATTAACTTGAATTGTATGATCACTTAAATCGGTCAGTCTCTCAGCATATCTCACCATTGTAAATATATATACATGAGGTGTATATGTTTACATATGCAGGAATACGTATATTTTTATACACTTTCAAAATTATATTATTATTATTATTATTATTAAAGTTTGTGTTGTATTGTTTTATTTTTCCGAAAAAAAGAAAGAAAAACACCCACAAATATAATAATCTATTGTGTAATACTTTTTTGTATATGCGTAGATAACATTCATTAGAGACAACCAAATCAAAATCAGCATAACAATAGTTATATTGTTATCAAAGGTTTAAGATATGATAAATCATAAATTTTCTATTTGGTGCCATAATTTACATATAACATAAGTTTATATATACCGAATACATACAATTAGATCTCATTTTCCTTGCATGCATTCCACTTTTGATTGATGTTACATACTACTTATACCTGTCAACATAAGTAGTATACACCATAGAAAACATACAAATTGTTGTAAGTTAACTTGAACCTCATTGGTCATCTATATTGTGTTATGATTTGTGTTTCAAGTTGTAATTTCAAAATGAATAATAATTGAGTAATAAATAATCAATATAATTTAGCACTATTTTCGACTGTGGTACTCTTAGTGATACATTATTTTTAAATCCAATAAGAGACATTCATTGGCTTGATATTACAGATAGGCTAGGTGAGACAAAACTTAAGTAAAACAAGGCCATTTTATAAAAAAACTTTATTTGATTATTGATTAGTAACAAATGTTTTGTGTTGTCTTGTTTTCAGTGCTGATTGAATTCTGTCGATCATTTTAGAATGTAACCGCTGGTCTAAGCAACTTGACATCGTATATATCATGTTTATACGTTAGATAGTTATAAATAGTCATAGGGAGACAAATCTTTGACGATTGGAAAAAAAGCAGTATCGTACGTTACTCGCCACATTATGACATTTTAATTTTATACCTGTTTTTTAAGGTAATACTCAAATGTTACTTACTTAAGTAAGTAAGTAATATGTTTGAATTGAGTTAATCATCATTTGCTAGTTATTTGAATTAGTCAGTTATAAATAGAGTAGGAACTATTGTCACAGATATGGATCCGTAATAATTATATTTGTATTAGTGTATGGAGTAAGAGAAGATGAAGAGTTAAAACAAAAGTGAAAATATCATTATCGATGTTAGTTAAAACTATTCATAGACAATATATTAATTCGAATAGTTTTAAACAGTGAATCATTGATGATAATGAATCATTATCATAGAGTATCATGTGTTAAATGATATGGATAGTGTACTTCAGTAAACTTCAATTTGGAGGTTTGTTAGTTTTATACTTGTTACATTATTTCAAATTAGCATGTTTCATCCTATTTTGTCTTCTAAATATGTACTGTTTTTGATGAAGTTTTGTTCTTTGAGCTCAACGGTTTGGTGGTGGAGCTTTCATCGTTCTTCTGAACAACATCAGCACAAACTTTAGGTAGAAGTGAAGTGTTCGAATTTTTCCACATGTGGTTCACAACTTGTCCTGTACACGTCGATGTTGATTGGTTCTTGTTGACCTTAAATTTGTTATTGTTTACTTCTTTGTTTTGGTTAGAGAAAATCGAACGCTTCACTTCTATCTGAAGTTTGTGCTGATGATGTCGTTCAGAAGGACGATGAAAGCTCCACGACCGAACCATTCAGCTCAGAGAACAAAACTTTATTAAAATCATCCACCTGAGCTGCAAATCTTTTTCATCATCTATGTACTGATCATTTAAAATTTGAAGTCTATTTTGGAAATGAAGTGATGAGGTTAGTAACTGCTTATTAGTGTTATAGTTTGTGTTTTCAGACTTAGTCTCCTGCAACAACAAGTAAATAATATAGCTTTGTCATCCCTCATTTGGATTATGTAAATTGTAGTATTCTATACAAATTTATGCATTTAACTAATAACAGTAGTGTCTTTTATCATATATGTCTTCTGAAGCAGTTTTTGCGCTTATGAAATAACATCAATGGCTCAAAAAAACTTAAGGTCTAAATTACTGATTGGCTGTAGCCTGACAACTGTTGAAAATCAGGGAGAAACTGACAACTGTGTCTTCCTAATATGATATTCCACCACAATTTACATTAATGACTCGACTAGGTAGTTAAATCATGTCAGAGGTGAAGCATTTATCGATTAATTGCATTGAATATTAGTTGCGTATTACCTCCGATTGACTGAAGTTAGCAACCAGCTCAGTATTTTAATATCACATTCGCTTCACAAGGTCTGATTTTCCCAGTTTCATTGTTCGGTTAGGTTGTTTGTTTACACTCATATGAAGTTCTGTACTAGAGTGAAATAGTTGTCCAGTGCCTTACGGTTTCTAACGGTTATATAACTAACACTAGTCTATGATGTTCATTACAAAATTTAACAATCCCCATAAACCGTCTGATAAACATTTGTCTACAATTATGCCAAAGTTTTTGATTGAGATCATGAACCGATTGATGTTAGACCACCATTGAAAACCTGGACGGCCGTTTCGTCCCATTTTTGGACTCTTCAGCAGTGTGCATCCACGAGCCCACTCGCGGGATTCGAACCCAGGGCCTTCAGTCTTGCGCGCGAACACTTACCCTACTGGACCACTGAGTGGGCATCGAAAGGTGTTAGTGTCTAACGTCAACTAATCCACGAAATCGCGTGACAATCTTCCATTGTACTGAGGTAGATACCTGTCTCTACCCGACACGGATTAGTTTCTCTGATCACGGCTTCTCACTAGAACTCCGACAATTCCCTCACGAAGCTAGTCACTAGTGAGCACATATGTTAATCATTAGTATAGCGGTTGTGGAGATTATTAAGGTTTTGATTGAGATCATAAATCAATGCCAGCTTAGTGGTCTAGTAAGTTAAGCGTTTGCGCGCAAAACGGAAGGCCCTGGGTTCGAATCCCACGAGCGGGAACATGGATGCGCACTGCTAAGAAGTCCCAGAATTGGACGAAACGGCGTTCAATGCTTCCAGGTTTCCAACGGTGGCCCAACATCAATCGGTTCATGATCTCAATCAAAAAACCTAATAATCTTCTCAACCCCTATACTGATAATGCTACAGTTTATTAATTTTCAGTTACAAATTACATTTCGATGTGTATAATAATAATAATAATAGTAACTATCATTATTATTGTTATTGTTATTATCCGATTATATTTTCAACAGCTTTATTTTCAATGCTAAATAATGAAGACATTAATGATTATTACTGTTGTTATTAGCTATACATGTAAGGAATTGGAAAAAGTATTTCTCTTTCTTTTTCTGACAAAAAAACTCATCAAAAATAAAAGAAACAAACCATGAGTATTAGTGATAATAATAATCCCTATATTCAGTATTATTAGCTTAATACATTATCAGATTCTCAGTATGAGACATTTCAATAACTCACTCTTCTTACTAGTAGTAATCCATATATATATATATGTATATAATTTAATGTTAAACTTAATCCATTTTAATAAGAAATGAAGAATATAATACAATAATGAGTCATCTGATTGTTTAATAATATAGGTTACTGATCAGCTCATCTCTTATAACCTGTTCGCCATGTAGTATATTTAATAGATATATATTATGGCAGAGGTGTCTTACTTTTCTTTTTGTACACGAATTCTAGTCTACTTGTATCTGATTGTGTTAGGAGACAAACACATGTAACAATATAAGTGAAGTAGATTATTTTGTATCTTATAGAATAAACATTTGTTAATCTTTTGAAAGATTTCAATTGTTTATCTACAACCATATTCATGATAATTTCCAAAGATTCATCCTTTACCCCTACTAGTAGCCATCAACAGTCTATGTGATACAATGAAATTTTTCTATGAGAATCCAGTAAAAATAAGTGAGGAATAGTGTAGGTTAGCATTTAATGTACATGAGAATATACAAAGCTTAAAAGTAAGTGTCATGTAATTTCAGATTCATTTAACCTCCTTGCACAATAAATCACACGATAGTTAAAATCATGAAGAAACCAAGAGAGATCAGAAGAAAGTTTACACCAAGATAAATTACATTTGATATAGTTTTTATTCCAAAGTTTTGAGTAGAATCTACCATAGTATTTATGTCTGTTTTCGAGTTTTAGGTTCATATTAAGTGTTATATTCGAAATCGTGGGATTATTTAAATTCAATGTGCATAAAGGACTTAATCATTTGTAAACAATTAGAAGAAACTGGAATCTATACAAAGATCTTAACAAATATATTTAGGCAAATAAATTGAATATACAAGTTAGGTGAAGAAACACATATTTTATTAATTAGTTCCTCATGAAGGCATTCAGAATCAAGCCCGAAACCTTCGGGTCTGATAGCGAGTAGGTTACCTTTCAAACATTAAATTGAAATCCGATAGTCAATATTTTCAAATTAATTCACAATACTACTCAACCATCAGTTTCTGTCACAGTTATATATATCCACGCTGTGCATGGATGAAAAATATACGGAATGAATATGTTTGTAAACTACATTCCCACTTTTTAACAGGATATATATAAATCCTTTAATCAGTAGAGTTCTGTTTAGACTGAAGAATTCCCTAAACAGTGATGCATTTGTATTTCTAAATAGAAAATATTCAAATTTCTGTGAGTTGCTATGCCTAATGCCTTAGATCTTTTGGATCAATACAATTTCTTTATTGCCTTCAAATTACATCCTGTATGTTTAGTCTTCTTAATGATTATCGACAAAAAAAAGTTCTTTAAACTTCACTTGTTATTCTCTCTATTTCATCTCAATATCCTTCATATATGAAAACCAGTATGCAAGGTGATACACTTATTATGATTTGACTGAAATTATTTCGCTGTTTGTTTTTTTTAAGGGATTATGACCATTTAATCGGATATAAAAAACATATAAATATGAAAACAGAATTGTTTGTTCATTTTACATTTGAAGTTTATCCATTTGTTTCGAACAACAAAATAGAATATTTTTTGAAGCATTTCAACAGCTCACTACTTGTAGTTGAAACATTCTACTGAATATGTTATCTAGAAAGATAATACACGATTAGATCATCCAACTTTGCGGAATATAACATGTGCTATAACAAAAGTATTAGTATTTGAATGTGATATATTCAGTAGAAATTTTGGTCTTAGGTTTCGTGTTAATTGACTTTTATCAATAAAAGCTATTCGTAATGTTCAAGCAATTGAAATTCCTTTTGAGATTCTGACTTACGTCATCTAGTCCTACAAATTGAAATGTTACTTTTGACATAATTGTTCTGCCAGTAACTAACTGATAATATATATATATATATATATATATATATATATATATATATATATATATATATATATGACTTGTACTGAGAAACATTGTAAATATTATACTATGACTATAGATGACAATTAAATAAACTTCCAAATCTTATCTTCATATAAACTAATGAATTATTCACTTGGTATTGTTTACTTGAATCTTCCTATTGATGTTTAGGACTGCAGTTAATCAGTCTCTTATTGGCATATGTGCATATTGCCTCGATATTGCCTTAATTCACAAGCATTCTAAACAAACATGGATAGTGGTTAGTAGTGAAATCCAGAACACGCGTTTCGTTCTATTTGGGACACGTCATCTGGATGTAATTGCATCTCAGAGTTGATGTTCACTCAGGGACTCGAACCCAATACCGTTCACTTCAAAAGTCATCTCATTACCCACTTAGCTACTAAATCCTGATAGTCACTTTCTTGTACAATGTGGTGAAGTTTGAAATTCACTTGATATTGTTTTACTTGAATCTTCTCATTAATATTTAGGACTGCAATTGATCAGTCTTTTATTATTATATTTTTCTCATAGGTTTCAATGTATTAATTTGTCAATATATTTTTTTATTTCTTCTTAACTCTTACTTTTATTCTTATAGTAATTAATGAGAAATTATCGGATCAACCAACGGAACGTGAATGTAATGGAAATTGAACAACATAATTGAATGTTTCTTGTTATATTACAATTTACTTGTATAGGGATGTTTGTTTTATAATAAGTTATATATATATATATATATATATATATATATATATAATTTATAGTGTATAATGTTTATTTTAGTTAAATCTATTCTAAAATAAACGGCGGTCTATTCAAATTTTCCGCCACTTATTTTTAACTATACAAATATTATAACTAAACTACCTACTTCATACTTGTTTGAAATGATGAATTATTAAAGCTTACTATCTGTTGTTATGCGTTATTATAAAACGATTACAATTGATTACGATATTAAATACAGGTAAACGTATACACAAAAATACTACAGTTTAGACATTATTTACTTCTTTCTTGTAGTATCAGAAGGGCTTTTGTGGAGATTGTAGTAATTTCAATAGTTGAAATCATGAGTCAATTGAAGCTAGATCACCATGGGAAACCTGGAAGCACTAGACGGCTGTTTCGTCCTATTGTGGGACTCCTCAGCAGTGCGCATCCACGACCCTGGCTCGCGGGATTCGAACCCAGGACCTGTCGTTCGATAAAGTGGGAGACAAATATTATATATATATATATATATATATATATATATATATATATATATATATATATATATATATATATATACTAGAATCCAGGTGCCTTATATATATGGTGGATGAAAAAACAGTGTTATCAGATCGATTGATAGGAAACTTTAGTGATTGAATTTGGTTGAGTAATTCTGTTTGTTAGAAGAACTTTAAAAATACGAGTCCCATGTGCGGGATCGTGGATACACATTACTGAGTAGTCCCGTACTAAGACAAAACGGCCGTCTAGTGCTTTTACATTTTCCATGGTGGTTTACCCTTGATCGACTCATGAATTCAACTATTAAATAAAATAATAATGTATGTTTTAGTGGCCTGAGATTCGACTCTAGGTAGATCGTTTGCCGCTTGTTATTGAAATATACATGTCGCCATTCCTCGTATTTAATCATCGACTTAACGTGCGTTGGTGAATAACAGAATTAAATAAATCAAATACGAGAATGGATTTTCAAGTTCGTATATTTCTTAGAATCGTTGATCGGAAAGAGAATCAAAACAAAATGATGCGCAATCAAGTACGTCAGTGATGATTTACAATTAGTATATAACATTGGTCAAACAAAATATTTCGCAGATTACTTCAAGGCATCCAAGTTATAGGAAGTATTTAGTACTTTCTCTAATCTATCAAACATCAACTTTTAAACAATAACACTAGATTTATCGTCTATTCATAGTATTGAGGAATAAACCAATATTCAAATTTTGTGATTGTATAGAAGGAGCAACAAGTTTGTTCGTTTCACTTTTGTATAATTAAAATAAATATATATTCTGAAGATAATTACAGAACTCATGTCCGTCTACAGGCCTCGATCAGCTTGATAAAGTAACGTTATATATTAAGAGTCAATATGCCCCCAAATACCCTGGTACGGCCGAGAGTGGGGAGAGTCCGCTCTCCCTCTCCAAATGCCCTCACATGGCCACGCGTATATAGCCTCTGCCAGGGGAGTCCTACTCACTGCCTTCTCGTGACACTACTGTTGTTTACGAAAATGAGAGGACGAAAAGCAAATGTCCGGCACCGGCTTTAACCGGGTCCCAAATCAATGGTGCACACGGGCTCCAGTATCCTGCGGGAACAAATGGCGTATGAACCAATCGTTGGTCACCGGCTACCATGGAACTGCATCTCCTTACGATGCTCCACTGTTTTGTGGATCAGATCTTCAGGTCGAAGGCTTGGGGTGTGGCCCCCTAAGAAAACCACCTGCTTCGGTTTGGGCACCCGGTCAGTATCACAGCCCTCACACATATCCAATGAGATTTGTGTGGCGCATATGTATTCGGTGCCTCCTTGTACCAATATCTATGTGTTAAAATAAATAAAATAAAAGAGTCAATATACGATTACAACATTTTTAGTGTTCAAAAGAAGATAATAAATATGACATCATTTAAGTAACTCGAGATATTTATGTTTAAATCAAATATATTTTATATCCAGCATAGTTAGGAAGATTCATTTACACTTTGATTGTCTAATGGCAATGTTAAAATAACGTACAAACACTACACTGTAACTTAATAAAGAGTCCTCTTTCTCAAATTAACGTCACGAACATCTTAGTAAGTGAATAGATGAAATTTGATCTTTTTGTAATCCAGTCATACTTGAAAAAGCAAGAAGTCAAGATATCAAGTAAAACATGTATAGTATTTCATATTGTTTAATATAACTTTTTTTTATCCTACAACATGTCGCTTAATTAAAATTATTCACCATTGCGATGAAATGAACATAGCATACGTTTCTTAGATTTATTCATTGTGAAACTCAGTGAACATTTTGATAGAGAGTTTGATACATTTTGAGAAGTCAATCTAATTGATTGTTGTCGGAGATGTTTTCAAATAAGCTGATTCTTTAAATAAGTTATTCAAATTGGTTCCGTGTTCCAGCAATTTGACGTTGGTGAAACCTTTTTCGGTAAAGCCCATAGGCTCATCTAAATTAGAAATCCGCTTTTTGAGACTCACAAACCCACCACATGGACCTGATTTTGTGTGGTATTCGTTGGAATCCCGGGTCTTGATATATAGGCATCGTTCCAGGGTCAAGTGTGGTATACATACATACAAGGGACACGTAAGTTTCCACCGAAGCATCCCTTAGTATACACATAGGTATATTTACCTTGTGAGCAAACATACGTTACATGCACACCTGTAGTACAAGTTTTGACTCAAGTATCCCACAGCATACATATATTAACTGATCTGGGAGAGTAAATGGTCATTGTTCCCTTCGAACGTATTTTCTACAACTGACTCTCTTGCACATTGCATGCATGCCGTCGGTACAAAGCTTATCCATGTACTTCATGGCATACACATAAACATAAGCACTTTCTCCGGGATGGTTGTAGGTCACCTCTCCCGAGTATTCGCTACCATATCTTTTCATTAAGTCTTCGACCTTAAGGATTAAACCACCGATTTTATTAGATATTACTTACACCTGTTACTCCTTGTGGAGGAGCATAGGCCGCCCACCAGCACTCTCCATCTAACCCCGTTATTAGACATAAAGAAGACATTTTCAGCTTACGTTCCTCGTGCAAACCCACATGCGTGACCTCAGCATGTACCTACATACACAACTACACAAGCCAAAACTCATACCATTCATAAGCATATACATCATGCGAACCTTTACAATCTTTATAGCCTCGAGGTGTGAACTCTGAGTAATTTAATTACAGCATAGGAGTGGCGAATTAGTCTGATCTTCACTAACCACCTAAATTAGCTAGCAAGATTACTTTCACTACCCAGTTGCGTCACTTGAAGCCTTTGAATAGGAATTTGCTGCCACTTAACATCGGATCAACTGAGTCGAGCAAAAGCCTGACTATTTGGTTTTTTGATTTTCCAAGGACGTTTCTAAGAATACTGATTGTATAAAGCATCATTAAACATTTTCTCAGCATTTAAGGAATGTTTGAACTAACTGTAAATGCTTCTTAACAAAGTACATTACACCATTAACACATTTGATTACTAAAAAAAAATCTTTTCTTCACTTTACTTTTCTCCTTTTATTCCCATAGTGATAATTTTAATTTTCGCTTTTATATTGTGACATTCTTAATTGTGTTAATACAAGTTCTGGTGATAATAATCTAGTACTTTCTCATTTGTTATCTTAAACTTTAAATGAAAATTTCTTGTTATTTGTTAATATTAAGTAACCTGTTAATAGAGTCATTGTCAAACTAACATGTAGAATAAGATTTTACAGCTTCATGTACAGAGTTTAAATTTGGTAATGAAAGGAGATCATCCTTATGATGATGATTATTGTTACAATGTTAAAATAAATGAGAAACAGTCAACAGATTTTCTTAAAAATTATAAACCACATCTCAATACTAAGTATACAAATAGTTTTCGTGGATTTTAGAACATGAAACATTAATGAAAAGGACTAGAGTGTCCCATGGGGGGAAGCATGGGATACAGTGGTCATCTAGGATATAGCTGAACGATATAGACTTCGCAGATGATCCGGCTCTTTTACCGTACACACAACAACAAATATAGGAGAAGACGACAAATGTAGCAGCAGCCCCAGTAGCAGTAGGTCTCAATATACACAAAGGGAAAAGCAAGATTCTCCGACATAACACAGCATGAAACAATCGAATCACAATTATCGGAGAAGATTTGGAACATGTAAAAACCTTTACATATCTGAGCAGCATCCTTGGTGAACACGGTGGATCTGACGCAGATGTGAAGGCACGGATTGGCAAAGCAAGAGTAGCATATTAACAACTGAAAAACATCGGGAACTCAAAACAATTGGCAACCAACATCAAAGTCAGAATTTTCAATACAAATGTCAAGACAGTTCTTCTGCATGGGGCGGAAACCTGGACAACAATGAAAACTATCATCCAGAAGATACAAGTGTTTATTAACAGTTGTCTACGCAAAATACTTCGGATCCATTGGCCAGACACTATCAGCAACAACCTACTGTGGGAGAGAACAAACCAGATCCCAGTGGAGGAAGAAATCAGGAAAAAGTGTTGGAAGCGGATGGCACATATTGAGGAAAGCACCCAACTGTGTCACAAGACAAGCGCTCACATGGGATCTTCAAGGCCAAAAGAGGAGAAAAGGAAAACCAAAGAACACATCACACCGAGAAATGGAGATAGACATGAGAAGAATGAACAACAATTGGATAAAACGAGAAAAGAAATCCCAGGACAATGTGGGTTGGAGAATGCTGGTTGGCGGTGTATGCTCCATTAGGAGTAAAAGGCGTAAGTAAGTAACTAGGGTAAGATTATTAATTCTGAATTTCCATCAGATTTCTATCTAATAATCCAATGACAGTTCAGTTGCCATGAGAACTGAAAGTTCAAATTTGTA